AAATTTATGACACAAGACTGCCAGAATTTCAAGCCTGTCACCTGACCTATAGATTTTGGACTTGCCAACCCCTACAATCATGTGGGCCAATTCCTCGAAATAAATCTTCATATAGTTATCTTACTGTCCTGTTTCCCTAAAGAACTCTAAGACATATGATCTTATATCTGGAAATTCCAAGCTCACCAACTTGACTCATAATAAGATAAATGCAAATTAAAACTACACCATGCTACCATACTCATGTACCAGACTGTCAAAAACCTGAAAGTTTGACACAACTCTCTGCTGGTGAGGCTCTAGGTAAATAGTCATCCTCATACATTGCTAGAAGGAGGGCAAAACTGTACAATACCTTGTGGATGAGACTGTCAGTGCCTGGATAATTAGTGATGTATTTACCCCCTTTGACCCTGAAATCTTTCTTCTAGAAATCTACTGATAAACCTCCCAAGTATTAAGTGATCTACAAAAGTAACTATTAATTGCAGCATTGTGTTGCAACAGCAAAAGCCTGAAGATATCCCAAGATCCAGCTATATAGGGTCTTGGATGAATAAAGTGTGGTACTGTATTCTGGGATGTTACATTATGTACTATGATGCTCTAAAGAAGAATGAGAAAAATCTCTCCGCACTGATACACAGATATCTCCAGAATATATTGCTGAGTGCAAAAATCAGAATAATATATCTCTTCAAATAAGAAAAAGAGGAGAGGACAATAACATATATATAATTACTTGTTTATATTTACAAAATAATAAGTGAAATGGAATGATAAATAAGAAAATGTTTCAAATGATTATATATAGAAGCAGACAGAAATGGGTGGAGGAGGAAGGGATGGATACAAGACTTCTCTGTGGTTTCAACAATTGAAACATATTACTTATTCAACAAAATTAAGTTAAGCATAAATATAAATAAAACATTTGAAAACCTATCAGTGAATTAAATAATAATGCTAACAGATTTGGCTTCTGAAATGTTCTCTTTTAGTTCATAACTAATCTCTACTTTGATCTATGTAGGTCTAGAAGGTCAGGTCTCCATAAATAGGTATTGGAAGAAACTAGACAAGGGGGACCTTCAGGAGGCTATATCTTCCCATGTTCCTTCCACAAAGTATTGATCAGAACCAATTCAATTCCATGAGTCGCAAGAGTGTGCCTTTAGGCACAGGCTGTGCTTAGCAAAGCAATTTCATAGATAAAAATTTAAAATCTTGCTAAAGG